CCCCAAAACCCCAAAACCCCAAAACCCCAAAACCCCGCTATATCCTCATCCGATTGAATTTTTGCTAAAATGTGGTAACCCTCATAAAATCTGCCACGTGCGTGGTAGATTCTATGCTCAAGTGTCTCTTCTTGAAGTAAAAATAAATTTGAAACAAGTGGTTACAGTATTCTAGTGGATTTGCAGATAACTTCATTTCATATTTCCTCATTAGTATCCTCGATATTAAGTCCAAATACTAGTTATGGTAATTAAAAGATGCATTTGCTGTAGTACTTCCTGAGCCCAAGGCTCAGGAAGGATTGAATGCAGTTTGATCAACTTGAATCCAATTCTTGGATTAATTCGAGAGTATTTGATGATTTCATTGGCAATTGCTTACAGAAATTAACACTCTAGATCTTAGCTGCTATGGCTTTGTAAGAAATCCCAAAATATGAAATTTATGCTCATAATTTCCCTGAAACAAGGGCAGTCCATACAAGTTGTGCTGTGAAGATCTCCCAGCAAACCCAAAAGTTCGAGTTTCCATGAATGTAAATATCATGGTGAAAGCAGATCTGTTGGTAGAATTATTATCGAAATTTCAAGAATTTATATAAGGAAATCAGAATTTTTGAAGAAATTTTTAGAAATTAATTAGGATTTCTGCTGTCTTCTGAGGGAACTTTGGGTCCTTCTTATTGTTCTGGGTGACACTTGTTCATATGAGCCTATACCAAAATATGTTAGAGGCTGTAAATGAGGCTTCTTCGGAGGTATACCTCAGCTAGAGGCTTGTAACTGCTTAGGTTTGTGCTAATTCCGGAAATTTGTTAGATTTTGTTAAATCATCACCCCAAATTTATATGAATATATAAAGGTAAATCAGCACAAGCCTCAAATCTTAGCTGCAATGAAGTAAATCATAATTTGTTGAAGGGCAGTCTGATCGAAAAATCGACAAATGATGATTTACTAGAAGACTTAAAAATTTTCAAGGTCGATATGATTTATATTAATAAGGCCTTCCTAAGCAGGCTAGAGTAAAGGATAATACCATAAGCAGGTTGGTCTGGCCCATCTTGACGCTTAGTAGAGCCATCCATTATCATGGCTGATAAAAATACTATCTCAAGGTTTTAGTAGTTTAGGTTAAAGTTTGGATGCTTATTTAAGAAATACTAATCATAAAAATGATGACTTGAGACATCGGCTGCCGATATAATTCATGAAATTATGAGGATTCCTAGCAAAGTGACCCTTCAGCATGTAGCTCACTCTTAAGAATGAGTGAGCACTATTTGTGCTTATGATTCCTAAATTTTCTAGAAACATGTATAACCTAGGTTTTTATGAAAAGAAGAAAATTGGCTAATATTTGGAACAAGTTATTTCAAACCTCCCTGATTTCTAAAATTTTAGGGGTATATTTAGCAAGACTCAGGATGGCTTACCTTTAAGTTGTACCGCTCTGTGTATCCCTTAGAGCAAAACCTGCAGTTATATCTCTTCCTATCGTTAACGTCTGGCTTGATATGCTGTCTCATGTGTTTCTTGAGGTTGCCTTTTTGGGTGAACCCCTTGCCGCATCACGTGCAAATGTAGGGTTTAACTCCAGCGTGCATGCGGACATGGTCAAGCAAGTTCCAAGGCTTCTGGAGTACCTTCCCGCACCCTTGTACACCACATTGGTATAAAGGGACTTCTCTTTGCTTCTTATGGTCGAAGTAGGTGATAGTTTTGTATTCGTATCCTTTCAGGAGTTCGAAATAGATCTCTTCCTTAGTCATAGATTCTGGATCAATGCTGCATTTCCTAAGTTCTGGATCTGTCATAGGAAGAGAGAATTCACCTGAAATTTTTTTAGCACAAGTAAATCCGTATGGAGCACTAGGAGTGTAAATGGCTTCCTGAGGACTTCCCAAATCACAGAGGCAATAGATCTGGGCTAGTCTATCCAGACTAGTTTGTGGCATGACTTGCTCTTGAGAAGCCATGAATTCAGAATCGAATCTTCCTTGACCTATAATTTTATTATCAGTTATCAAAGAATTTTTTTGAAAGTTTTATAACTTTGTTCGAAATGTGAGGCTCTTAAAATGAATTTAAGCAATAGTCTAGCGAGTGATCATGGTAAAGATGAATTTTCCATGGTTTTAGCTCTCCCAGATTTAGCGATAAATTAAATGGGAAATAAACTAGTAAGTTTGAAAAATTCTATCAAAAAAGGGCAAGCAGTGAGCAGCTTATGCCAAATCCTGCAAGGAGTCATCAGTCTTAATTTTTTAACAAAAGTTGTAAATTTTTAACTCAAAAATTTCGTCTTGAAAAATTCGGTGAATAGTATCCTTAGTGAGGGGTCAGGGGAGAAAATAACTGGAGCCCCCTAATTTTGCTTCTCCTGAAAAGAATGATAAAGCAGTTTAAAGCAACTCTACTCTAGTCTGCTGCAACCTTCAGGATCTTCGACAGCATCAGCGTTAGGAATCGAATTTTATTATTCTATTAGAAGTTAGTCTAAGGGTTTTTAGCAATAACTCTTTTGCAGCAAAAGTGCTGACAGATCAACCATCCACCTTAGTAGAGGTTTCTTATCTTCTGGAACCTCATAAGGGCGCCAAAGACTTAGCTTACCATAATGCGTAATTGATGCTGGGTATGCAAATTCCATTTAAGCGATATTTAATATTGATGAAATCTTTTGATTATAAATACTGCATTGGGGTTTTGGGGTTTTGGGGTTTTGGGG